GGTAGGGAGGTAAGCAACTCCTTAAGTCCTGAAAAGATGAAATAACTCAACGTGGAAGTGCCGAGCCCTCAGCACCTTTCAAATTCAATGTCCTGAATTTCTCAGATGGCTGCTTCCCATAGTCAGAGCTTCTCGTCTTAAAGGCCGCTTCTTACTAAGCCAACCTGAGGACTAGGGATGCTAAATTAGACTCAGGAAATATATTCTGCTGCAAACTCTCTGGGGAAAAGGCCAAGGGAACAGTTTTCCAGGACTGGGAGATAATAAAATTCTAAGGATTACTGAAAAAGCCACTTCAAAATTTTTATTAAATGAATAAGGGTATGAGTATGTATGAAGTATGTGTGTATAAAATTAATGAATAAATCCTTGCTTAATAGGAGATAATGTCCTGAAAACAAAATCAGGAAGAAAGTCTCAATCACAAAAACAAACAGATTTATTCATTCAAGAATCACTTGGCACCTTCTTTGAGCCAGTTTGTTCTAGGTACAAAGAAATAAATGAATGATTGTGGGTTTTGTAAAATACATTCAGTTCTCCGGGACAGGTCTATGTACAGTCTGCTTTGAGAGAAGAACAGAAAGCAGAGGGGGTTTTTCATCCCTGTCAGGGACTTTCTAGCTCCACCCCCAGACTCTCTGCTCTTAATCTGCACTAGAGACAAACAGAAGCAATTCCGCTGGGGTGAACCTGGAAGGTAAAGCTGGCATAAAAGTATGTCCATAACAACAAAACAGCATACTGAATTGAAAGTAGAAAGGAAATCCACAGGAACCAGCCAACCAGAATAGCCCTTGTCCAAATCGTTGCTGCCAATGATCTAACAGAATTAATGATGCGATTGTAGGAAAGCTAGCAAGGAGAAACAGCATGGGAAGTGATGTTTTGCAGATAAATCTCTATGCTACTGTCCCAGGAAAATGAGATTCTCTGGAGATCTCTGTCCTCAAATCCCTACCTCAGTCCCAGGTTAGAAGAATGCATGTTCTCAACATTAATCTCCCTTGCCCCTCCTTGAACAGGCAGCAAGTATCATGTTGTTTTCCTGGTATAAGGACTTTGCATCTTCTAGATAAATATACTGAGCCTACCTATGACAGGTTTATCATGGAACAACCTATAATTTGGAGAACATGGATGTGAAAGAGTAGTAGCTCTCCCAGGATCCAGTGATCCTGGAAGGAAAAATATATCAGGGGTACCAAAACAATATATACACATTTTAAGCGATGTTATCTATGTATTACTTTTAGTTTGCCATAATCAGAAATGTCTGGATTCTGCTGGTAATCACTTTGTATTCATCTTTTGTTATGGGAATATATTAAGTATTACAATTTAAAAAATTTTTTCTTGGCTGAGCTTGGTGGCTCAGCCTATAATCCCAGCACTTTGGGAAGCCAAGGCGAGTGGACTGCCTGAGTCCACGGGTTCAAGACCAGCCTGGGCAACAGGGCGAGACCTCATCTCTACAATAAATAAAAAGTTAGCTGGGTGTGGTAGCGTGCGCCTGTAGTTCTGGCTACTTGGAAGGCTGAGGCAGAAGGATTGCCGGAGCCCAGCAGGTCACACTGGGGTGGCTGTGAGTGTGCCACTGCACTCCAGGCTGAATGATGGAGCGAGACGCCAACTCAAAAAAAAAAAAAGTTTTTTCCTTTCTTAAAATGTATATGCATTTTTTTGACACCCTCTGTATTTTTTCATTCAACATCAAAACTTTGCTCTTCCTTTCCCTAAACTTGTTTCTTACTATACTAATATGAAGCTACTTAGTACCATCAATAGGGTTCATTCTGGACTCCTGATATCTACACACTATTACCTGGTTCCTTTGATGAACAATAGCATATATTTTCTAGATGTATGGTGCAATATGACTATGGAAGAAAATTGCTTTCTTTCTTTCTTTTTTTTTTGAGTTGGAGTCTCACTCTGTCGCCCAGACTGGAGTGCAGTGGTCGCTCCCAGTCACCGCAGCCTCGACCTGCTGGGCTCCAGCGATCCTTCCGCCTCAGCCTTCCAAGTAGCTACAGGCGCGCGCTACCATGCCCGGCTAATTTTTGATTTATTGTAGAGATGTGGTCTCGACAAGTTGCCCAGGCGGGTCTTGAACCCGTGGGCTCAGGCAATCCACTCACCTCAGCCTCCCAAAGGCGCGGGATTACAGGCTGAGCCACTGAGCCTGGCTGAAAATTGTTTTCTAAGTCAAATACAAATGACTACAAAGTAAACTAAGGTTCCAGTTCAGTTACACTACCTTGATGGGAGAATATGTCCCATAAGAAGAATGTCTTCTTTTGGATGAATATGTCCTATACTCACAATCCTTCTCAAAAAGGACAAGACAAGGGGGAGCAAATCTGCATTATATTCCCTGATCCCAGCTAATTTGAGCAAGGGTGGACACCTGATCCAAGAGAACGCAATCCCTAGACCAATCTGATTCTCTCCATCAAGTATGTGATCCAAAGCCACAGATAATACTTTAAACAAATGTGCCCATTGAAACATGTTTATAATATACTATGTATATTTGTATATATTAACATCCTACCGGATTATAAATTCCTTAATATTTCAGGGTATATATACGGTCAATTTTGTAAAGCACACAGCTGCTGATGTCCACGAACCTGCTACAGAAGATAGTGCTAATGTCAAATACCTCAGACAGGAGCGAAAGCTGCCTGTTCTCTGACTACGTGGAGATACCTGGCAGGCAGGGTGACTTTTGGACAACTAGATAGAGAGCTCATAGGAGCCAGATGAAATGGAGTAAAAGAAGTTGCCATACTATCTGAAACACTGTAGATCTTTAGGTTTAGGAAAGGCAAGGGCAAGAGGGAGATATAAATGGTCAGAAGAAGAAACCAAAGCTGTCAGAGGTCCTCTTGGAAAATGCATCTTAAATAGATTTTCTATTTTATTGATGGGGGAAAAACTGAGGGAGTTGAGTTGTGCCCTGAACAGCTTTCTCTTTACAAAAGTAACATGGGCCGGGAGTGGTGGCTCATGCCTATAACCCCAGCACTTTGGGAGTCTGAGGAGGGAGGATCATTTGAGATCAGGAGTTTGAGGCTAGACTGGACAACATAGAAAGACCCTGTCTTTACAGAAAATTAAAAAATTAGCCAGGCTTGGTGATGTATGCCTATAGTCCTAGCTACTTGGATGTTGAGGTGGGAGGATCGCTTGAGCTCAGGAGTTTGAGGCTGCAGAGAACCTGTTTTTTTAAAAAAAAGTAACAGAGGATCGTCATTGTTTAAACTCCCACAAGACAAATGTAGACCTGGGGCCACTTCGGTAGAGAAAGAATAGAATGATCTTCAAACCTCCTCCAGCTGTTCTTCCCACTGTTTTTAATGCTACTAAGGGCAAACAGGAAAGGAGAAGTAAGAGACTGAATATCACTGCTAATAAAATGCAGCGAGTGATGGATATATGATGTTTGCTTCATTCTATATTCTTTTGTATGTATTACATATTTTATAGTAAAAATATTTTGTAAAGACACATTGAAACCAAATCAAACCAAACATCCAAAGGAAAATGAAAATTATCAAACACAACATTAGCAGTGATTTCCAAAGTCCAAGCATGGAAAGTCTGCTGAGGAACATTCTTCAGACTTGTACTAGCACCAGATTCCATTAGACTCTGAGTTTAAAGAAGGGCAAGGACTCTGAGGAGAGGTTCTAAAGAAAAATAATTAAGTTCTAGATACAAAGTCACTTTCTAGGAAATCACGAAGACTGGCAGGTTTAGAGGTTAGGAAGTTGAAGCAATGGAAGGTCAATTGGTAGGCCTGAGCTATTTGCCACCAGTTTAACTCAAAATACTCATTTTCAACAGAGTACCTACCTAACCCATGGCTGCAGTAGTGATGGAGGGATATGACCTAAAATTGTTCAAGGATGACTCTAAAATCCAGTTCCTGGGGAAAATTAAGCAGGTCTGTCTAGGCATTAAAGAGATCACTGAAAAAAATAGCATACAGGGATCAAAAATATATACAGTACACAAAGTTATACTTTAATTCAGACTTCAAATCAGAACAGAAGTGTGGAGGTACTATGGAGGAGTTGTGGGTGTGTGCTGGGAGAAGGAGGCTAGAGAAAGACAGAAGTGTGACTCTACAGAGGAATCAAGACAGGCCTGATTTGGAGAAAATTTTCTTAAATGGATGTAGTCAGGCTTGAGGCTAAAATATACTGTCTGAGATTTCTAGTTCCTCACTTTAGAATTTCTGCATCCCTCATTCTCACTCCTGGCTATAGTTCAGTTATTCTAAAATGCCTAGATCACTTCTCGGTACAGCACATCTCATACTCTTTTGGATGTAGGTTTCACTAAGCAGAAGAGAATGCCCTGGTTACTTAATTTAGCATTTCCTAACTAATAAACTCTCCACTTCCTTGCAGGAAACCATAAGCTTGTGGGTGTAAGATTCCCAATGAGTTTGCTAACCTCTATCCTCAGGCTCACTTAGGAGGCAAGAACAAGCAGCCCTGACACCAGGCTGACCCTAGGCAACAGAGCAGGATGAACAGGGTTCATCTCCAGGTGAGTGCATGAAGGAAGGACCACATATAGGCTCTGGTTACAGGGCATCTTGAACACCTGCTGATAATAAAACATTATCTGTCAAGCCCCTCCAACCCACCAAAACAGAGAAAGAGGGTGGAAGAGAAATTTTATTCCCTCTGATTTCCACCCCAGGGAATAACAACCCCCACTCCACCCCAAAGACCATTAGCCAGAGTAGAAGAGCACCTAAGGGAGGATCTAAAGAGAAGACTGACCAAGGAATGTGTATCTAGGTATCAGTCCTATCCTAGAAAGGGAAAGTGGCAGTAACCATGGGACAAAGACTAAGGAAATGCTTGGCCAAATCAGCTTTCTTCCTTTCCCACTTTCATTGAGCTTAACTACCGAGGTGGCTTCTTTAAGATCTGTAGGCAAATAAAGCAGAGAAGGGCATGGAAATAAAAGCTTACCATAATAAAAAGAGGCCAGTGCAGTGTGTAGAGTTCTAGCTAAGAAACCAGGTCTCCAGTTTGAGGGTATACCTTTAACTAGAAGATGATCAATGACTGGGTTACCAGTACTCCTGACAGTTAAAAGGTCTCACCATTGGGAAACTGCAGGGAGGCGGGTGGGGGGAGGTGGAGAGGTGAGATGGACAGTAGTCGATATCTGCCTAGGGAAGGGGAGGCACACCCCATCGATAAGGGTAACTGCACGGTGAATATTTGTATACTTAGCCTTGAATTGTACCGTACAATTTTAAGTAAAAATTTAAGAGGAAAATAAAAGGTCTCGCCACCAGTGCTTAGCAGGTGTTTCTGAGTGATATAGTACCATGCTGTATACCTAATGGTTACCCAATAGCTGTCCTCTCCCTTCATCATCCCCCCCACAGTTTAAACCTTCATTTATTAAGACTCTTTAGTCTCTGCCAATTCCTTGAGCCCAGGCCTGATCTGATTCAAGAAAACCCTTACCACAGAGAAGAGAGCTAATGGCCAATAGCACCATCCATAGCAGGAATTCCTTTCTTGATCAGTTCTCAATAGCCTGGGATCTAGTTCAGGGAGAAGACTGTAAATACTATCAGAGAGCTAAGGAGCAGGTTTCAAGGCAATCAGGAAACATTTTCAAGGAGGTAACAAGGAGGACTAAAGGCAGAAAACCAGACAAAAGCTGGGAGAAGCAATAAAGGTATCAATAAGACTAGTTGGGCCTAGGAAGAAAAGCTTTTTTTTTTTTTGAGTTGGAGTCTCACTCTGTCACTCAGATTGGAGTGCAGTGGCTGTTTCTGGCCACCGCAGCCTCAACCTGCTGGGCTCCAGTGATCCTTCCGTCTCAGTCTTCCAAGTAGCTGGAACTACAGGCGCGTGCTACCACACCCGGCTAATTTTTTTGATTTATTATACAGATGAGGTCTCGCCAAGTTGCCCAGGCGGGTCTCGAACCCGCGGGCTCAGGCAATTCACTCACCTCAGCCTCCCAAAGCGCAGGATTACAGGCTGAGCCACCGAGCACGGCAAGAGAAGCTTTTAAAATTGGCATAGAGTAAAAGGCTCAGTAAACTAAGATTTAGACTTAGAGAAGTTGAGGCTTACTTATGAAGGAGCTCCTGGGTACAAATCTGCCTCACCTGGAAACATTTCCTAAAACTGAACACCAAAGCCCAGAAATTAAGTAATCAAGTTTAGAGAGGATCACCTGGAGAAAGAAGGCAACATGAATTTCGAAGACTTCCTTCTTTCTAAATAATTCAGTGTAGGAGGAAAGTGAGAGGAACCACCTCTTGCTATTTATGTCTTTTTTTACTTTTTGAATTTTTAATTGTATAAAGTTGATAGAATTTTGCAAGACTAATAGCCCAGGAGGAGAATACTTGAGGAAGCAGGAGAAAAAGACTTGGTAATGACCTGGGAAAGCTTCTGTAAATATAAGGTGCTGTAGAGATATTACAGAATTACTAAATGGACTCAGATTTTCAGGCATCTATGCTCTGAAATCAGGTCTACAACTAGATGAGCATTAACTCCACAGATATTTATTAAGGGCCTACTATGTCCCAACTACTGTTCTTGGCTACTGAGACATGAAAGTGAACAAAATACATAAAAATCCAAACCTTTGTGGAACTTACATTTTAGTGGTCAAAGACCATCAATTTTAAATAGCATGTTAGATACTATGGGGAAAGAAAAAAAGTAGGGTAAAGGACTAGGAATGTAAGGATACAAGGGTGGGTTGTAACTTTACACAGGGTGGTCAGGGTAGGCTTTGATGAGATACCATCTGAACAAAGATTTGAAGGTGGTGAGGGAGTTAGCCCACGAACATCTGAGAGACAGTGTTGGGAGCAGAGTAACTAGCTAAGGTAGGAGTGTGCCCAGTATGTACAAAAAATAATAAGATAATCAATGTGGCTAGAGTAAAGTGAGGGAGAGAAAGATTGTAGATGAGGTTAGAAAGGTTATGGGGGCTCAGATAATATAGGGCCTTGTAAGGCACTGTGAGGTCTGCTTTTACTTATAGTAAAATGAAGTCTATTGAAGGATTTTGAGCAAAGAAGGGCATATATTGACTTAGAACTTTAAAGAACCACTCCGGGCCAGGCATGGTGGCACACACCTGTAATCCCAGCACTTTGGGAGGCCCAGGTGGGAGAAATGGTTGAGTCCAGGAGTTCAAGACCAGCCTAGGCAACATAGTGAGACCTCGTCTCTAAAAAAAAAGTAATAATAATTAGCTGGGCGAGGTGGCATGTGCCTGTAGTCTCAGCTACTTGGGAGGTTGAGGTAGAAGAATCACCTGAGCCCCAGAGGTTGAGGCTTTAGTGAATAGTGATGATACCACTGCACTCCAGCCTGGGTGATGGAGTGAGACCCCCAACTCAAAAAAGAATCAATCTTGCTTCCAGGTTGAAAAGAGATTACAGATGGTTCCTGACTTAATGGTTTTTCAACTTCACAATGGTACAAAACTGATACACATTCAATAGAAACCATATTTCAGTATTCAATAAACTACATGAGATATTCAAAACTTTAGTATAAAATAGGCTTTGTGTTAGATGATTCTGCCCAAGTGTAGGCTAATGAAAGTGTTCTGAGCATGCTTAAGATAAGCTAGCTAAGCTATGGTGTTCAATATGTTATGTGCATTAAATGCATTTCAACTTATGAAAGCTTAAACTTACGATGAGTTTATAAGTTGAGGAGCATCTGTATGGGAGAATAAGGATGGAGACCCAGAGACCAGCTAGGGTAGAGGCCCAGACACAACTGCAGTCATCTAAGCAAGAAATGATGGTGGCTCAGATCAAGGGAGTAGACACAGAGGTAGATTCTGCATGTATTTTAAAAGAAGAGCCAAGAGAATTCCTGATGGCCTAGACATCAGGTATGAGAAAAAGACAGGAGTCAAACATGACTCCAAGTTTTTGTTGTTTAGTTTTTTTCTAAGAGATGGGGTCTTACTATACTTCCCAGACTTGATTCGAACTCCTGAGCTCAAGAAATCCTATCACCTCAGCTTCCTGAGGTGATAGGATTTCTTCAAGGACTACAGACATGTGCTACCATGCCTGGCTCAAATTCAAGATTTTAACCTGATCCGGTAAAGGCTGGAGTTGCCATCAACTCAGGAGAAGGTTATGGGAGAAGCAGGCCTGATGTGGGGTTAACGGGAGAGGAAGAAGAAATCGAAAGTTCAGTTCAGTTGAGTCTGACATATCTATTAGATTTCCAAGTTGAACAAGCAGTTGTATACACAAGTCTGGGGTTTGGGAGAAAGAATTTGGCTGGAGATAACAGGCAGAAAGTTTCTCCACAGTGGCATTACTGACATTTTGGGCTGGACAATTCTTTGTGGTGGGGGGGCTGTCCTGTGTGCAAGAGGATGTCGAGCAGTGTTCCTTTACTCTACACACTACACTAGATGCCAATAGCACCTCTCAAGTTATGGCACCCAAAAATGTCTCCAGAAATTACCAAATGTTCCCTGGGGACAAAAATCTCCACTTGTTGAGAACCACTGCCCTAGAGTATGTCGAGAGAAGTCAGTGAATGAGACAAAGCAGAAGTCAAGACAGAGAAGTAATGGAGAAAGTGGCAATGTGAGTCAGGAGCTAAAGTCCTCCAGAAATGACTGGGAATGACTCAGAGTCAGTTCATTATGATAACAACAAAGAGTATTGGATGATATATTCTGATGACATGAGATTCAAAGTTGCGGCTTTTTAGGAGGAGGAAGTGAGAATCGTTAAAAAGCTGAAAGTATAATAGAAACAAGGAAGACATGTATCCCAGCTCCATACTCAGTGGTAAGTGGACTATGAGAGAAGAAACAGCCACCGTATGAGACAGCAGCAGAGAAGACAGGTGAAGCATCTTTAGGGGAAAGCCAGGTTTCTGACCAAAAAGGAGAAAGTAATGCTCAGGAGAAACCGAAGATAAAGAAAATGTTGCTGATAATGAACTATGCACTCCAGAAGGCACAGTGGATAATTGGGGAATGGTAGGAAAAGAGGACAGAATGGGAAAGTACAAGATATATTTCACAAACTGGAAGGTGGAATCCAGTGGGAAGCCCACTGAAGGGAGAGGAAGGCAGATCTTTAAGACATGAGGAAAAGGAAGCAATCTGTTATTATGGCAAGAAGGTAGACATAGGTAAGAATCTGCCTCCTGATACATGCCACATTCACACTGTAATTAGGAATCACACTGTAGTTACCAACCCTAGATTAGAACTAGTCTAGAACAAAAGGACAGTTCTCTAAGCTTTAACAACTTTAATAGGAGGAAGTCAACCAATCAGACATAAATCAATTAGGAGGTAAGAACAGTGTTTTCAAGGGTCCAGGAGCTAAGAAATCTTTAAGAAGGATGAAGCTTGTGTGAAGTTAGTGCAGATAAGCCTAAAGCCCTAGGCAGAATCCTTGGGTCCAGTTAGGAAAGTGGGTTCCTCATTAGAGAATCAGAAATGAGGCAGTTCTAAAAGGGACAGAGTAGCTCTGCAGAAGCAATCAAACAAGATCAAGAATCCAGAGAATCTGATCTGTGTTTATATACTCTGGAAAAGAATCAGGATACAGATTCCTAGAGGGGCTAAGAATTCTACCAAGCCAGACAAGCTTGAAGAAAAGAACCTGGACCTCAGGAGGCTAAAGCAACTAATCTAAGAAATGACAAAGAACTCCCTATCAAGATAAGGAATTGGTGCTGGGTAAATTAATCCATCTATATTTCTTCCTGTTTTAGAAAATTGTTTCTTAAATATTGACTTAAACACTATAGAAGGATATATATAAAAGTAAAAGACCTCCTCTATTTACTTCCAACCCACTCTTTAGAGGAAATCACTGTGAACAACTTGATGTGTATCCTCCCAGACATTTTTCTATTCTTGTATACAGATCCCAAAAGGGAATCACATGACATATTCTTATGCATCTTGTTTTTTTTGTTGTTGTTGTTTTTTGCTTAATGGTATATCATAGCTATCTTTTCAAGGTATATACAGGTCTATCTTATTCTTTTTAATGGCTTCATTG